AATTGCACTATATAGTTATATTTATTATGGAGCATCAGATTGTATAAGTTGTAGGTAGCATCTCGATTGTATAAATCGCATGCAATATCTCGTTTTGTATAAAAGTGCAGCGATTGTATATGTAAATCAATCACATAACTACTATGTATATTTATTAATGACTGTGTTTGTATATCTACATAAAATTTGAATTTGTATAATCGAAATAAAATATTTTTATATCAAATGTCTCTCTCGCATTGTACAACACAAATTATACATTGTAATTTGTATTTGTATAAAGCGTGTGAAATTAGGTCTTAGGCCTAACTCACACCCCAAAAGCTAGCTCAAAGGATGGAGGATTGCCCAAGCCTTATAAAGAGTCCACCCATCTCATTAATCACCGATGTGGGACTTTTGTCATTCTTTAACAAAGCGAGAAAGAGAGAAGACAAAAGAGAATTAGTAGGGATTAGTAGGGGAAATCTGTATCTGTATAATTATAGTGTAAAAGACAAAATTACTAGCATATATAGTTTCCCTCGCTTTATGAAAAAAGAACGCAATTTATAAATTTGTATTTGTATAAAGTGAGAGAGGCGAGGGAGAGTGGCGAACGAAATTTTTGGGTGACAGGTGAACAAAGCTATATGTATACGTACAACTTTCTCTCGATGTATACAAAAACAAATGTGCAAAGTGAGGCGAGAGAGATGAACGAGTGAGAAATCTGAGGAGAGAGGCGAATGACAAAGCATCTGCTATGAATAAAAATTATATAAAACAATGACCATAAAATTTAATTTTAATTAATAATTTGCTTTTACAATTTCTCCGGCCCTTAAAAGAAAGAAGGGGGTGGGGGGTGGGAGAGTAGTATCAGTATTTTTTTAAAAATATTTTACTGCGTATAAGTATATTTTATAAAAAATTTATAAATTATTTATTTTAATAAAAAATTAAACACCAAACATGTACAAGGAGGTGGATAGTCTTTGCCTTCGAAATCATAAGCTGCAAAATGGAATTGAACCTAAACTTACGTTCCAACAAAGACATCCAACAGCTAGTTTTACAAGGATTTTAGACAACAAAAGTAAGCTTCACCTATTTTTAGGTCAATTTTTTTTAAGCAAGTCAAAATTCACTTACTTTTAATTTTTAACTTATGAGTCATTTTTTATAAATTCATTCAAATAAATTTGAATTTTGACTCGAAATTAGTAAAGATATATTTACTTGTAGTTCCGTTGAGAATCAGAGAGATTCCGCTTGAATATCCATGCAAATAATTAATCATTTGGCACAAAAAGTACCTAAATATAATATAATTATGAAGAAAAAAAGACAATATACATTATTTTCATGGTCCATGGAATCTCATACTGTCCAACCATTGGATGCTCTGCAACCATGTGTTCATGGAAAATCATGTCAACCATTTTTCTTAATTTTGTAATTATAAATCTCACCAGAAAAATAGGAAAAATGATACTATCAGAAAGAATTAAACGTATAATACAAAAAATAACTAGTAATACTCCTTTCATTTTAATTTCTATGACACATTTTAAACTAACTTGAGGTTTGAAAAAGTTTATCCTTGATGGTAAATATTTTAAATATTATCGTCAAATATTGTGATTTATTGTATATTTTAAGTAGTTAACAAATATATGACATATTAAAAAATTGAAAATTTCATACGAAAGTTATCCGTTAAACTAAAATTATTTGTCTCTTAAAAAGCAAAATATGTTACATAAATTAAAATAGAAAGAGTATTATTTAACATATTATAACAATTGTCTCCCTTATCTTTCTGGATTTCACTCATTCGGGCTAATTGCCTTGTAATAACCTTATTGATTTCGACATGGTAAATTTTTTTAGGCATGAAGATAAGTTATGTTGAAATTAATAATATTGAGTTCAATTATCTTGATATTATTCCTAATTGATAGTTTAGTTAATTGTATAAAAATAACATATATTTTAATAATTTCAAAGATTTTTTTATATACAAAAATGCCCACAATACAAAAAGGATTTGAAGTGAGAGGAACCCCAAGGGTAAGTTTTACCATTTTATTATTTTATCGTGATACTATTAATTAATCTGCTGATATAATTTCTCTTAGGATCAACAAGTAAATAATATCAATTTTTTTAATTTTAAACTATTTATATTTATCCCGCGTATCAAATGATCCAATGCAAGCCTAGCTAGGGAGATTGTAATAAGTTAAGCAAACACGTAGACCATATGACAATTAGTTGTCAACTTAAACTTCATTATGAATCTGTACTGAATCAAAATAGATTCCAGGTAGGCTACGTATCAAGACAACATATATTTAAAACATGAAATTAATTAAGACCTCATTTCACAAGATTCCTTTAGTCTTTCGTTGAGTAAAATCAGTTTTCTAATGATTAGAAGAAACAATTAAGGGCTTTATTCTCTTTAACACCAATGAAAATTTCATAGGTCTCCTAATACTTGTGACCTTAAACGAGTGGTCCCTTCAAATTCTCCCATAATTTCTTATTTTTTTAAAAATCTTTAGCTATTCGAAGAACATTATATGATTAATTAAAGTCTGCATGGTATATATAGGTTAATTAAACTCTGCTAATCATAAGTATTAACGTAGCCTAGAAAAAAAAAGAAACGTGTAGAATCAAATTAGTTTGAATACACTTGAACGTAGTTAATTACATACTCAATATCATCAATGCTATTAGTCAGTTTTAAAAAAAAATAACATATTTTAATCATTGCAACAGTTAACCTTATAAATGATTTATAGTCAAACGGACTATGACTTATTTTAGACTATAGATTTCAAAAGTATTTATTTAAACTTTGTGTCAGGTCATACTAACTCAGATTAATTTAGACGTAGAAAATAATAATTTTCTATATAAGTACGATTGTCAAAAATAATGAGTGGTTGAGCACCTAGTAACGTCTACATATTCTAACAACAGTGGATCACGAATCAACTCGATTAATATTCTAGTAACATTAATTGACACTAGTAAGTTCAATTCGACGTGAACATTACAAAAATAAATAGATGAACATTGAGCTACATTTATAAAGGCACAACATGACTAATCAACGAGGGTTGTGATGAAGTGATAAATAGTTCTTCATTTTTAAGTAACAGGTCTCGAGTTCAAGTCCCGTAGGATACAAGCACTTGTAGGACTTGTCAGCATACATTTAGATTTAGTCAGATTCTAATGTAGATACTGAACATCAACTAAAAAACTAAAAATAAAAATAAATAGACACAACATTACAAGTACAGTTAACAGTTGCCAAAACAATTGAAAAATGCAAGAAGATATTGAAAAAGGATTTTAATGGGGCATATGAGAATCTGTAAAGTGCATTTGGTCAGTTTATAGGAAAAATTAAAGAGCTAGCTTTTGATCATCACTGATATATATATATATATATATACTATAGTAAATTTGATCTGTCAAAGTAGATCATACATAATATACTGATATTGAAGATATATGAGATATGGATTGATTCATCTAGCTAGCTAGCCTCATGAGTGACCTCACTATGCTAATATTATAAAAAAAATAAACCATGTAAAAACAACCATAAGATAAACAAAATAAATCCTCTTAATAGGGTCGGTCATGTGTAACTCTTATTTTTGCCTTCTACGTGTCGCCTCATGTGTACTTTCTATTTGATAGAAAAAAAAACATGTTTGCATGAAATATAAATCTTGACCAGTCAACCCTGTCCTCTTCTTGTGATAAACGTATGTTTGAATTGATTTATTTATACGTAAACTTTTAGATACTTTTGTAACATTTGAAACCTTTTATCTTATGACTTAATATTTATAAGTTGTAAGTCATAAATTATACATCTAAATAAACATAGGCAGATCTATTATTTTAGATGGGATGTATTTGCATTAATTAACTTTGAAAATAAATTATGTGCGTATACATATATACATACATACACACACGCATATATATATATATATATTTGTTTTGAGAAATTGATAGAAATTAGGATACAATTAATAATGCACCATAAAAAGCAAAAAAACGTTATTGTGCTACTGATATAAGTTAGAGAAACTACTTGCGAAACCTAAATTTGAATCCAGCCACGGTGTTTATTTCTTTTAAGTTTATCTTTGAACTTATATTTAAGTTAAGATTATATTGTTACGTCCATAGTCTTCAAATCTCAAATTCGTCGGAATAAACAAATTATAATCTATAAAGCTGAGGTGAAAAATGCAGTAATTATTCACCCCCTCTCCTCACGATACTATTTCATTGTCGGTCATCCAAGAATACTATTTAGTCTTGCGAAATGGTATTTGACGATTTACACAAGATTTTATATATTCAATTATTCATAATACTCAAATCGTTCAGAGCATGTGTTATGTTTTTTTTCCACATAATATTCGATACATAAAATTAAGTCGATACTTTTACGTATATATGTATAAAATATATATTGTGTATAAATCATTATTCATTCACCTATTCGTAGGATTAATTTGGAAAACTAGAAACGGATTTGCAACACATGTAGAGTTGCATGCATATAATGTTGATTCGATTGATATAAATATCTGTGTAAAATAAGTTTTTTCTTGGAAAAGACATACCATATGTCATGAAGTTATTTTTTCAGTTCTAGAGAAGATATGATGAATTAACATCATATATGCATTTCTAAAATACTACTAGATAGTACTACGTAGATGTATAAATAAAATAACATGGTATTACGTGTATTCTCTGACACACTCACACACATTAAGAGAGAACACATGCATAGAAATTGCTAAATTTCTTAGTTCAAACCTAAAATAAAAATAATAATAATAAAAAAAATTACACAATAAGAAGGGAATATAACATAGAAAGGCAAATTAATTAATTAATTAACTTGTTTCTTCTCTATCCCAAAACCCTATTTAAAGACAAGCTAAACACATTCCTTTCTTCCATGCAATTGTCTTCTCTTCACCACTACTTGTGTTTTTGTGCACTTACTATTACTTTTCTTCTCTCTCTTTCACACTCTCCATAGCAACACATACACTTCTAGCTAGATTTGTCCATTATATATAATTTTGTCTCTAATTAGTTCATCTACAATTAATATAATAGTAAAAATATTTGAAAATATGTCTAGTAGAAGGTCAAGATCATCAAGACATTCAGGAGGATCAAGGATAAGTGAGGACCAAATCAATGATCTTGTTAACAAATTGCAACAACTTCTTCCAGAGCTAAGGAATAGATCCTCTGACAAGGTAATTCATTTCATTTCTCCTCGCCGCATCAGAGCCGGAGTCAAGATTAGAAGTTTCGGGGTTCTAACTCAATTTTGTTTGAGGGTTCGCATGTTAATAATATACATATATTTATTTAATGTTCTAATACAAATATGGGATTTACGAAGAAAAATTAGTGAATTCGTCCGGATCCATGAACCTCCATCTAGCTCCACCTCTGACCGGGTCTACTAAAATTGAATCCCATAAAATTTTCACTAAGAAAGTTCAAAAAAATCAGTTGTAGTCATCCTGAACCTCAACACAACACCTTATATAAAATCTTGAAATCTTTAAGAGACATATTAGGGTTCTTCTATAATGTGTATGTAATGTATCCATCATATTATTTCCTATTTAACCCCCTAACAATGTAGGTAAAAATTTACCTGCTTCGAATGTTTATACCCACCTCCCACCTACTTTTTTTTTTTTTGTCATTTTTAAGGTAAAGATATGCTTTGTGGAAGAACCCTAAAATGTGTGGAAGCATCTTTTTGTAATTATTATTCTAGCAAGAAAAAAAAGAGAGAAGTAAAAATACATTTAATATAGTACTATTTGAACAATGTAATCTTAATTTCTTATTATTTCCTCTTTAAATTAGTAAAATTCACTGAACATCTAATGCATCGTTAGATTTTATTGGTCTAGTTAAGTTATTGGTATTTGAAAAATTGGAACCCAAGTACTAATAATTTAACAGAAATTCCTACATTGGATTCTTTTTAATTTGTCTCTTGATTTGTGAACTTACTAAAGTTAATTGTCTGATATGAGTAATATTTTTATTTGCTTAAAATTAAATATATTATTTCAATATGAAATCGGTTAAAAAAAGTAAACACTAAATCTGTCCAGCTATTTATGTGAAGATCCCATTAATTAATATATTAGCGTGATAACTATTGATCAAGGATGACACGTACAAATCGAGAAATGGTTCGATTATCTGAACTACTCCTAATAATTTATTTGTGTTTTATATGGAGCAGGTTTCAGCAAGTAGGGTGTTGCAAGATACATGCAATTATATAAAAAGTTTGCATAGAGAAGTTGATGATCTGAGTGACAGATTATCAGAGTTATTGGAATCATCAGACACTACTCAAGCAGCTCTAATTAGAAGCCTACTTATGCAATAGTCTTTAATTTTGTACCTTTTTTTTTGTTTCAATTTCTTTCCTACTTTATTCAGCAGTTACCATTTTGTTTTTTCCTTATAATTTAGACTTTCTATTTAATTATTGACTGCTAGAAAAGAGAGTTTTGATGTTTATGAGTTGAACGTACCTTTAATTTAAAGCCTTTTGGGCTCTATCCACATTAATGGCCTATTCAATATTTCCATCCATAGATAATATATTTTGAACTCTTTTAGCAGAATTTGTCGTCTGAATATTGGAATATTAACTAGAAAAATGCACCAACGCAAGTTGTTTTGATAGATTCTTGACTCAAGGAAAAGTGAATAAAAGTAGATCGAAATAAATAAATAATGGAAGTGAAAATTAGATCATGTCAAAATATTATAGAAAACATGACAAAACATTCTGAAAAAAAGATGTGCAATAATAGAAGTACTAGAGACACCGTAGAAATTGAAGCCTACGTAATAAGACTGCGGACTACTAGTATAGAAAGATAATTAACACAATGCTTTAGCTTTACTGCCTACTAATTTTCTATCCTAATTTGTGTTTTTCACAACCTTGTATTTAAGGTCACGTCCTCAATAAGCTGAAAATACGTCATGTCATATCTAATCGCTAGTCCAAGGCTCCCAGCTTACCAATCATGTAATAAAAAGAGAGCATTCTATCTAAGATTATGTCCTCAATTAACTGAAAATGCTTCCGCTGAAAGAGACAATGTTTACCATCTCTGACTATGCTCATGAAATTCCTTTTAAAATATACTAAAATTTAGTAGACATTGCAGAATTCTGGCCCCGTGAAGAATAAAATATAGAAACAGTTATCTGCAATTTATAAATTTTTACCCTTGATTTGCCTTGCTATGTATAGGAGATAGTTGATTTTGTTTGATTGGGGTAAAATGAGGGTTGTAGCTCAAGGAGTTTTGTACTGAATTGTTTACTTGGTAAACATTAGTTACGTTTACTGGTTATTTTGTAAAACTAAATCTCTCAACGGCAATGGAGGTTTCAATTAAATACGTTGATACAACAAACTCTTTCTATTCCACGAACAAAACGCCAGAGATTGGCATCATTGTACACAATTTACATGACAAAATAGGAGTCACATATGCTCTGTACTTGATATATCTACATGAACCTAAATATTTCCTAATTAAGGCAAAAAAAAACATTATGCACATATGATCCTTCTTTTTTTTTTCCCTTCTAATTTGTGGTTGAATGTTATGATCATGCTTCATTAAAGGATTGAGCACAAGAAGCAACCTTGATAAAAACATCCTCTAAAGTTGTATCAGCCATACCCCAAGCATAAATTGGAAATCTACTCTTTGCATTCTCAACTAGTTGAAATACATCTGCAATTTTCGATTCATGTTTTGGCAACTCGAACTTCTGTGTACCTGATAAATGATACACTTTGTTGGCATTTGGGCATATCTGTCGCACCATTTTCTCCACTTCCACCTCATTATCAGCTGATGTAGTTATCGCGAGCACATAAGACCCTCCATATCTTGTCTTCAACTGTGGATAATACAGAGCAGAAAATAACTCTCATAACAATCCCTGAGTTCAAAATTGGAATTATCATTGTTTGTGTAAAAGCTTGAAATTACCTCTGATGAATTCGCTATGCATTGCAAGCTTCCATCAACGAAGATTCCTAAGCGATCACATAAATAATCCGCTTCTTCCATTGAATGGGCTGAAATTAAATTAGTATCTTTGTTAGTAAGCATACAACAACAACATACCCAAATAATTATACCATTTCCTTAATTACATTCAAGATTATGCATTTCGATGAGTAAGTCGATGCAGTAGTGTTTATTCATGTCGAAATGGAAAAACAATGGAACTAGAGATGGAAAGTAGATTTACTAGTGAGAATTATCGCTCTGCCTTTCCGTGCATTCTTCACAACAGTCCATAAGGTATCTCTTGAAGCTGGATCAAGTCCAGTACTCGGCTCATCCAGGTAGACAACCTGGTAAATTTGCATATATAGTTCAATTTTTTTCGTCATTTAGGAGGAGAAAATGAAAACGACATATTAGGAAGAACGTACCTTGGGATTTCCAATGAGTGAAATAGCAACACTTAGCCTTCTCTTCATTCCACCACTATATCTCCCAGATTGCTTGTCAGCAACGCCTCCGTTAAACAAGTTGAGACTCTTAAGAGAGTCTTCAACTGCCTGTAGGTAGTAACAACTTTCGGATGTAAGTAAGATCCATTGAAAAGCAAGAGGGGGAAGCAAATTTAGGAACGGGACCATAACTTACTCGATGTAAAACTTCTCCTTTAAGATTTTTAAGCCTTCCATAGAAAAGTAGATGCTCCCTTCCTGTTAATGTATCCCAAAGCAAGCTGTATACGATTTTCATTAATTAATATTTGTAGATCATTGAGTAGGAATTATGAATTGTCAACTTGACTTTGTTTTTTCATACTCATGCTGAGGGCATACACCCATGACGGTGTATACTTTGTCCATCTCTGTATTTATATTCAGGCCGTCAACAAATGCAGAACCGGAGCTTGGCTTTGTCAGCCCAATCATCTGTTAGCAACACTTTGTTACTCGATGTAACTAAGTAAACAAAAAACTAATGTCTTAAAGGATATTGCGGAACTTACCATACTAATAAATGATGTTTTTCCAGCACCATTGGGGCCAAGCATACCAAGGCATTCTCCTTCAGGGACAGCAAGTGACAGTCCTCTAACTGCATATTTATCGGGGTTTCCATCTATCCCTGGATAAACCTTTTTCAGGTTGTCAACAACGATGGGATAACCTGATGTCGATCCAGCTAGCATCTGTTCAACCTTTTCCCTCTGTTCAATATATGGGAGGAAATGTTGAATTGAAACAACAAAAAGACTACTAGTATAAATCTATATCAGTTTTGTTCTGATGTCCACAATTTTCAGATGCAAAACATTATTTTGACTACGTATATGTTGATGTTAAAAAGAGAGGTGAAACATGTTTCAATGAATGGCAAAAGTATCAAGTGTTACCTCTTGTGCAACATCTTCTTTCTCCATTTCAAGACAAACTCCAGAATCCTTCTTTTCTAATAAGTTCATAGTGGATAGCGTCTTCTTCTTCCGCGAGTTCTCCAAGAAAAATAGGGGACTTTCCCCTGATGAATTGATCTGGTCCAAGTAAAAAGCAACAAGGAGAACTACTATCCACTCCACTAACATTATAATCATAACCTCTTTCATCCCATTACCAGGATCACTCAAATTTGCCCATTTCATACCACCACTTTCACCCGTATAAAGACCACTCTTACTGTATTCCCCAAACTCAAATAATCCGCGATAAAGAGCAAATCCAGGGTATAGCTCCATCACTATAATCCACACTTCTACAATATCATTCACAATGATGCAATGTCAGTGCAGTATGCAGAAACATAAAGCAAAACGCAAAAGGAATTACAGCTAGATCATCAACTTACCTGATACTGAAGCACCAGACAGAAAGTTTGCGAAAAAGAATGATCCTAAGAGACCACTTGCAAACACCACCAAGTAGCCCATGACTGATACAACGAAAGTGGATGCATGAATTAGTTAAATATCACATTTATTGATTGTAATTAAAACAATTCATCCTTCTCGTGATTGATATATATATACTTTTAACATAAGACTCCTAATTCTCACAATAGTTAAGATATCACACCTGTGGCTGTCTTAACATCTTTGAAAAATCCAGCCAGCAGAAATGCACATGCGATTTGCAAGTTTACGTAGATGAAGTAGAACACAAACTGGATGCCGAAAGAATTCTCTAGAAAGATACTTAATCCTGCAAATGGAGGAGAAGAAGAAAAAGGATAAATTATTGAGCCACTAAATACGAGTTTAGTGAAGGAATCAATTTAAAAGCTGTGTTACTACCTAAGATTGAGCCAAACGCCACAAAGCCAAACATGTAGAGAGATGATATGAGAAGAAAATAAGCATAAGTAATAGTCCAATAGGGACCGTCCTTAAGTCCGTGCATTTTCATCATGATTCGTAGATTCTGCTGCTTTTCATAAACCAGAGCTACAAAAGCAACCTGCAAATAGTTAACCAGAGCACGAACATGAGGAACACGAAAAGGCAGGATAGCAGTTGCCAATATAACAAATCATATATATGAAACTTATTCCATCATGCAATTATTATACGAATGACAGAGGGAAACTTATAAGACGGAAAAAACAATCCAACTTATTCACTTACTGGGAAAAGTTGTAAAATCACCCATGAAAATAAAATTGGTCCCATCTGAGAAGAAATCTCCGACATCCTAAAACTTCCGTGCTTGGGCATTTCTTTGATATTATCAAACAGAATATTGAAGGAAGGTCCAAGCAAATTTTGAAGGAAGGTATTTGATGCCTGTACAAGCACTTAGTTTCATTAAGCCTTGAATGAATTAGATTAACTTTATAAGATTCTCCGCGACAGCAATGATTACTATGATCATGTTGATAACATTTTGACAATTGTTGATAAGGAGAGGAATAACATATCGGAGAAGAGTAAATGATTTACCAGGTTCACCATAGGAGGCACCCGTACCAATTGTTCACTTTGACCGTCATACTTATAGGTTCCATTATACCAAACACTCACATTGAACTATTTGCATTTGTATTTAACCAATCATATGCTGCAAAAAGAAGAAGATCATACAACTTTGTTAAGAAAAGAGATTGATATTAATTACATGAACCACGGAGTACTAAAATAGCATAGACAACCTGCTGCTATCTCGCCTGTCTTTTTCTCCGTATTCCCCATTATGTAACCTTTAAACAGCTCATCATTGATCTCAGAGGGACTATTACGCCACAAAGATAAACCTGTACGACATTGTAACACTGCAGTAGGAAATTAAGGTCAGAGCTATGAATATGCTAAATGTAACATCAACACGATCAAGCTATTAATCCAGTTAGAAATAACAAGCATTAATCGTACTATAGCTTCCGTAATTATCATAGATGTCTAGACCCTTGAAATCCGCTGGACACCCAGCTTGAATAATATAGAGTGTAGCCTTTGGTGAGTAGAAAGCAGGGTTTTGAAAACTCGTACGCGCAGCTGGAATCTCTGTACCCTGAAAGATATTATAGCTAGTTCACAAGGTCCATGATATATAGCAATTAATCCAAGGGGAAAAATATGAAAA